AAAAAAAAAAAAAAAAAAAAAAAAAAAAAAAAAAGCTGGTGAAGAAAAGATAAAGAAAAAAAGAAAAAACAAAACAAAAAGCAGGTGAAGAATCTTCTCCCTATAGATAATGAAAGCCTACTGCAAACAGATGAAACTGTAGCATGTGATTTAATGAGGTAAATATTTAAGAAAATAATCAAGTTAAAAGCTAAAAAAATTAGGTGATAAATCTTATGAAAAAATTACAAATCAAAGAAAAATCACTTTAAAAATGAAGACTAAAGTAGACTAAGAACAACTAAATGCAACAGCAAATAGTTTAAGAGCAATAAATGTAGGATAAAATGTAGGACTAAATGGAGGAGATTTTTTTTTATTATAAGAAATGAAGGATGAAAAGGGTGAACATTGTTAATGGCAAAAATAAAAGATCCAGTGTAATAATAATAGGAGCTCTGGATTTGAAACAAAGCAAAGGAGCAGAACAAACACTATGAAACTATATGTTGAAAGTATACACTGTCTATCTGAAAATATGGACCTAGAATACCAATACCAAAACATCCTAGTAAAACTGTTGGACTTTAATGGAAAAAGAGTAGAGGAAACTGTAAATATCTAAGCAATTTAGCTTATAAGCAGCAGAAAATTATCATTGCACTTTACTATTGTAATGCTTTCTGCCAAAAGACAATGGAGGAATACAGTTAATATACTTCAGCAAGGAAAATGGGAACATGAATTTTAGACTAGCAAAACTGACCTTTAGGTATGAAGGGCAAAAACAGTCACTGACATACAAATATTTGAGGAATATTTTTCCCATGAGCCCCCTCTGTAGGAATCTAATAAAAATTAGGTGGCAGCTCACCAAAATGACTAGAGAAACATCAATATTAATGCTTCTGGTGATGAGCATTAAATACATGGTTGTTTGTAGAACTAATGCTAATTAGTGGCAGAACAGGGAAAAATATAAATGTATCTTCTGACCATGGAGATATTATGGTATGACTGAAAAATGAAAGACAATGGGGAAAGGCAATGCAAATATATATATATAATCCTCCACCCCACACTGGAGATTGAACTCAGAACCTTGCACTTGCCAGGCAGGTGCTGTGCTGTTGAACTATATCCCTGGCCCAATGCAAAAATTTAAAATCATTTTAGTAATCAAATTGGTGAAACTATTAGTAGTGTTACTTTGGGACTGCTGTATGGGCAACTTAGGATAAAGCACCTGAGTGTTTTGATAATGATGCAATTGTTCCTTTTTCCCCCACCACCTTAGTGAGGGCGATTGAACTCAGGGCCTCATGTGTGCTAACCAAGCACTCTATGACAGCTACATTCCAAGCCCAGGATAGTTTATTTCTGTTTCCTGTGTTCGTGAGAACCAGGACACTCATGGAAGAAAGGAGAGGCAGATTTATAGACAAAGTTAAAACCCTATAGTTCCACATTTGGATTGGAAGTGTCACCGTAAACTACTAAGGTATTTTATTCTATCCATTGAATGCCCTAGGACATTGACCAAGTCAGAAATTAGGCATTCTTAGTGCCCATGACGTGATGCTGAAGTACTATTTCTTACTAAAGAAACAAGAACGTAGAGAAATAACTGATTGCAAGTCTAAGGCAAGAAATTCAGACATTTCAAATAAACAGAATTATAGAGGTTGTTACTAATAGACCTGCAGTAAAAGAAATGCTAAAGGTAGTCTTAAGTAGAAGTAAAATAAGGGAGTAATTTGAAACCTTATGAAGAAATAACACTGATTAAGGAAAATATACAGATAAACGCAGAGGCCAATATTGCATATTTCATTTGTAATTTTTTTGTCTTTTTGAGACAGGGTTTTGCTGTGCACTTCAGGTTGGCCTTGAACTCACTTTGTGGCCAAGGCTGGCTTCAAACTCAAAGCAATCCTCCTGTCTCAGCCTCCTGAGTGCTGGGATTACAGATGTGAGCCATCATGCCTGGCTTCGTTTGTAATTTTTATATGATTTAAAATACCAGTGTATACATTATGGGCACATGATGTATAAAGTTGAGGCTTATGACAACAAAACATAAACAGCAAGGGAGAGCTGTATAGGAGCAGAATTGAATTGTTATTAGTGAAACTAGGTTGTATTAACTTAAGAATAGACTGTTTAACAGATCAATTGTAATCCCAAAGATGACCAATAAGAAGTAACCAAAAACTAGCTAGGTATGGTTGTGCACATCTGTAATCCTCACACTCTGGGAGGCCGAATTGAGAGAATTACAAGCTTGAGCCCAGTCTGGATAATTTAGTGACTTAGCAAGACCCTGTTTCAAAATAAAATATATGAATGGCTGGGACTGTAGCTCAGTGTAAAGTCCTTGGGTTCAATATCCAGTATGGCAGAGACAAAAAACAACTCCAGCCTCTATAGAAAGGAAATCAGAAGGAATAAAAATGATACCCTACAAAAAGATTAATTAAAACATAAAGAGCAGGGCCATGGCTGTAGCTCAGTGGGTACAGTGCCTGGGCCCTGAATTTGGTTCCCAGTACAAAAAACAAAAGCAAAAGCAAAAATAACAACAACAACAAAAACCAGCCCCCACTAAAAGAAGAATATATGACGTATAGAAAACAAAGCAAAATTTTTGATAATTAAATGTGAGCTGAACTCTCCAATGAAAAGGCAGAGACTGAGAGGGTGGATTTTAAAAACCAAGTGTGTCCTGTCTACAAGAAACTTATTTTAGACCTTTGGGGGACTAAGGTAGGCGTGCTATGAGTTTGAGGCCACCTGGGGTACATAATGAGTTCAAGGTCAGTCTGAACTAAATAGTGAGACCCTGTCTTAGTTACTTTCCTCATTGCTGAAACAAAATACCTGACACCCAAAGTTAAAGGAGGAACGTTTATTTAGCTCAGTGTGTAGAGATTTCAGTCCAGGGGCTGGGGATTTAGCTCAGTGGCAAAAGCGCCTGCCTGGCAAGCGCAAGGTCGTGAGTTTGGTTCCTGGTACCGGAGAAAAAAACCAAAAAAAAAAAAAAAAAAAAGAGATTTCAGTCCATACTCCACGGACTCCAAGGCAGTGTGGCTTCTGAACCACGTGGTTAGGAATGGTCATGGCAATGACAACACTCCTGATACCAAATTCTGTCTTAGTTATTTTTCTCATTGCTGAGATGAAATACCCACCACCCAAAGTGAAAGGCAGAAAGGTTTATTTAGCTCAGTTTGTAGAGGTTTCATTCCATAATCCACTGGCTGCAAGGCAGGGTGGCACATGACAGAGGGGCAACCGTTCACGGTGGCAGAGAACAGAAAAAGCAACAATGGGGGATAGACAATCCTCTTTCTGTCCCTTATATTGTATTGTTTGCTGGAATTATAATGGTGCCCATCCAGTCAGTGGATTGATCAAGCAGTCACCTGCCCTTAAGCCTAGCATTGCATTATGAATCAACCACACAATCTAGATTCAGTCAGTTCTGAAAAAGCCCCATCTAAAACTGCATGAGGCTTTGAGGGGACATCAAGACACAAACCATAGCAGACCCTGCCTCCTAAATAAATAAATAAATAAATAAATAAATATCTCAAATCAATGACCTAACTTTATACATTAAGGAATTTGAAAAAGAAGACAAACTAGACCTTAAACTAGCAGAAATAAGGAAATAAATTAGAATAGGATAAGCAAAATAGAGGAACAATAGAGAAAATGAAGAAAACAAGAAGTTAGTACTTTGTCAAGCTTTTTCCTTTTTTTCCCACTCCCCAACCCTCTCTTTCATCCTTCTTTCTCTCCTCATTTACAAAAGCTTTGTTTCCATATTTTCCTTCTTTTCTCTTTTTCTTTTACCTTCCTTCTCCCCCCTCCCTTGTTCACCTTACCATTTGAACATGTTCTTCATTCTTCAAGATAACTATTATCATTACGGCAGGGGAGAATTCTACCATGGAACCACCCATGCACCAATACTAGCATCCATTATACTCCTTGTTTGCCTCATGGGTTTCTCAGACAAGAGAAACAATGCAATATTTAAAC